GGTCCGGTTCAGGCCCGGCCCACCGAGCGGCCCTAATTTAAACTAAACAACTATGAAGTGCAAAATGTTATAACAGTGTAAGACACTATTACACAACTACCCAAAATATCTGGTGTCATAATCCATGATAGAGGGAAATTAACGGGAATGGGACTCCAGGGTCTGCGAACGCCGGCAGATCTACCTTCGGTCTCTTGATGGACTGAAGGCAGCAACCCAACTCTAATCACGAGGTCCGACACCAAAATCTGCACAAAAAATGCAGAGTGCAGTATTAGTACAACCGACCCCATGTGTTGGTAAGTGCTGAGCCTAACCTCGGCAAAGTAGTGATGAGGCTAGGACACTACCAAAATATAAACATGTGTAGTTAAATCATATACGAGAAAATAATAATAATAATAGAAATTTAACAAATATTAACGGGAAGGGGAAAGTCATGCTGAGAGGGAAATATCAAGTTCTGGAAACAATATAGTAAAGAGACAAAGTAAATATCATGCTTTGAACCAACAGAAATAATAACACGACAACATATGCACAGCATCACCCTTCGCGCTTTTACTCTTGTCCTTACCATAAGAAATCAGAAATGGCACGTCATCACCCATCGTGCGTTAACTCTCTCATAATCATGGCACGGCATCACCCTTAGTGCATTAAGACTCACAGAATATGGCATGGCATCACCCTTCGTGCATTAACACTCACTCACAATATCGTGCACTGCATCACCTTTCGTGCTTTACACTCTTCCTCACCCAAACAATGGAAACAATAACATTTCGGCAAGGAAATCAGCAATAACCAATCTTATTACAACAGCTAACTTCACAATATAAATCTCAACTTAAGTCAATACTCAACCAATATCCAAAACAGGGAAAAATATAATAAAACTTGTTTAACATGAAGAATTAACCAATTAAAGAAGAATAGTACGTATAAAGGAACACCACAGTCATAAGTATAAGACTTACTCGCATGCTATGAACCAACAACAACGTATAGATACTCGTCACCTCACTTATACATCGTACTTAACAACTAAACACGTAGCAAATAAGGCAACAACACCTAATCCCTCAAGCTAAAGTTAGCCACGACACTTACCTTGATTCCACGGCCAAACTCAAGCCTCAAATACCGCTTTACCTCTCGATTCCATCTCCACTCGTATCTAGTCATAATTAACTTAATAACATCAATAAATGCTAAAGAAATCAATTCCAATGTATATTTATAGGTTTCCTAACATTTTTCCCAAAAAGTCAAAACCTGACCCCGGGCCTGCTTGGCCCAAACTCGAAATTCGGACCAAATTCCGATTACCCATTCACCCCCGAGCACGGATATATAATTCGTTTTGGAATCTGACCTCAATTTGAGGTCTAAATCCCCAAATTTTGAAATTCCTAAATTCTACCCAAAAATACCCAATTCCACCATGAAAACCCCTAGATTTTGTGATGAAATCCTGTAAAAAGATGAAATGGATTGAAAGAAATAAGTTAGGAATCATTTACCTATGATTTGGGGAAGAAATGGTCTTTGGAAAATCACCTCTTGAAGTTTAGGGTTTGAAAATTTGAGAAATGAATCAAAAATCCCGTCTAAGTCCTTTTTTGCACAGTTGTAGATATCGCATTTGCGACCTGAGCTTCGCAATTGAGAGACTAGCATCGTAAATGCGAACCTGCCGCATTTCTGCTACTGTCGCAAATGCGAACCTTTGATTGCATTTGCGATGATCCCCCTTCCCCGACTACTTCGCATTTGCGAAGGTTTGTTCGCATTTGCGAACTCTGTTGGCTCAACCTCCTAGTAGCATTTGCGAAGAAAGGCTCGCAAAAGCGGAACCTGCAGGGCTCGCAATTGTGATGTCTGATCTCGCAATTGCGAGATCAGGGGCCTGCAACAGCTGAAGCATAACGGCAATAAACCTTAAGTCCCAAAACAATCCGTAGCCCATCCAAAACTCACCCGAGCCCTCGGAGCTCCAAACCAAACATGCACACAAGTCTTAAAATATCATATGAACTTGCTCGCGCGATCAAATCGCCAAAATAACACCTACAACTACGAATTTAGCACCAAATTGCATGAAATTTTCAAGAAAGTTTCAAAACTTCTAACTTTTCAACCAAAGGTCTGAATCACGTCAAATCACTTCCGTTTTTCACCAAATTTCATAGATAAGGTTTAAATATCATAATGTACCTGTACCGGGCTCCGGAACCAAAATACGGACCTGATATCAACTAGATCCAACATTATTCAATTTCTAAAAACCATCATATTTTCAGTTTAATAATTTTCTTCAAAAATTTATTTATCGGGCTAAGGACCTCGGAATTCGATTCCGGGCATACACCCAAGTCCCATACACGTTGACCGAAGTCAACAAAATCATCCTTTTAAGCCAAAAATCATCATTTCTTAAAAAAAATCACATAGGGGCTTTTCGGATACACGCCAGGACTGCGCACGCAAATCGAGAAGAGATAAAATGAGGGTTTTTTTATAGCCTCGGAACACAGATTCGACTTCTAAAGCAAGAGATGACATTTTGGGTAATCACAGTCCATTATTCAAATGGTCACTCAACCATCCCAAATTATCTGCTAAAGTCACTTTTCTTTCGTTTGTAACAACAAAGTCACTTAACTATGCATATAGCATTCAGAAGGTCACTCAACTAGATTTTACAAATTTTGGATTGCCAAATACCTATTTTACCCTCTAAATTATAAACACTTATCTTCTTATTAATATTTTTAACCTTTTAATACTATGATTTCTCCTTTTTAATTTATATTATGTACTTACCTAAAGAATAAAAAAAAATATTTATAAATTAAAAAAATAAAAAGTAATTAAGCATATATAATGCTGGAATAACAAAATAATGAGCATAGTAAAAAATATTAAGTAAAATAATTTGTTCGTAATGATAATTTTAGTACTAACAATAAAAATTCAAAAATTTATTTACACAATTGAGAATGAAAGAAAATAAAGGTTGTAAAATATATATTCAATGCACGTAATATAAAAATAATTATTTAAATAAAAGTATTTTTATAATAGACATTATATATTCTTAAAAATTATGCTCAATTATATTATTATTCTGGCATTATATGAAATGAAAACTATTTTTTTAATTTTTATTTATAAATAAAATATATTTATTCTATAGGTAAGTTCACAACGTAGATTAAAAGAGAAAAAAATGTAATTTAAAAAGTTAAAAAATATTAATAATTTAGATTGTAAAATAGGTAAATCCAAAATTTGAAAAATCTAATTGAGTGACCTTCTGAGTGCTATAGTCTTAGTTAAGTGACTTTGTTGTTATAAACGAAAGTAGAGTGACTTTTAGAGATAATTTAAGATAGTTGAGTGACCATTTGAGTAATGAACTCGGTAAAAAATTTGTGAAGTTTCTTTTGTGTGACTATAAAAACTTCTAATTGAGGATAAAATGAGTAAATAAAAAGTGTTGTTTCCAAATATAAATATGTGTTGTTATTTTTAGAACGAACTAATAAAAAAATAGTGCCACAAAAATTGAAACGGATGATAATATAATCTACCTCTACCATCAAAGTGAGATTTGGTTCTTTTGGTGTTGCATAAATTGAAACGGAGGATAGTAGGGGTGTCAAATTGGCAGGTTTCGCCGATTTTGTGCGGGTCAAGATTGGTTGAGTCAACAACTGAGCAAATCAATGACTTGCCCAAAAGTTATTTAGGCTGAGATGTGCTTGGTCAAGATGGGCTAAAATTTGATCCACAGTCCAAACCGTCCAACTCTTACCAAGCTTTAATTAATATGTGTTGTTTTCTTATGAATTGTATGATTACTAAATAAGACTTTTTTCGTTTGTTATGGTTATATATAACATATCAAACAAAAATAAATTATTTCTAAGATATTTTGACAAAGTTATTCATGGATCAATTTGGGTTAAAAATTAGTCCAATCTTAAATGAGTTGGATCAAAATAGACTGAGTTTAATAAATGGACGGGTCAATAACCAGCTCAACCTTAACGGTTTGGACACGTCATTTGGGATAGTAATTAGATAGGAGATCATTTCTTCCCACCCAAAGGAGTATGATAGATTGGTAAAGATTCTTTTCTTCTAGTAGGAAGTGTTTGAACTCTCATAATAAGCTTTCTACGGCCTTAGCTGTAGAAATTCAAATTAGTGAGGATAGTAAATTGAGGACATGAATAACAAAAAAAAAAAAAAAAAAAAAAAAAAAAAAAAAGTATGTACCTCTAGAAGAAATTATTTTTCCACTTTTAACCTAAAACCCAACTGTAACTCAACGGATAAAAACTAATTATCATCCAATAAACTTTTATCACATTGAAGAAATAGCTAACATAAGTAAGAATTAAAGAAAATACAAAAGCTCAAAATTTCTTATAAATTTTCTCGCACACAGAAATGGTCTGCATCGCCAGAAATAGATTCAACTGCGACAGTATGACCCCCACAAGAAAAGGGTCGAAAAATAAAAATAAGAAATTCTAAATAAAATTTGAGTGTCTTTTAGCAGTTAGCGTCCTTCCTATATATACCTTTCAGTATGACTCTATTTTCCAAAAGAAACGTCTCTTTTTTCGAACTCTTGCTCAGTTTTCTCTTTTGGGGTTGAAATTTTTGGAGAGTTTTGTAGGTTTCTTCATTTGGGTCTTTTTGATATCTGAATCAAAGAAATTGCTGTTAAGAGTGGAGAAGCCATGGGTGTTGTTCATACTCTGCATTTTGTTTTTGGGATATTTGGTGAGTCTTTTTTCACTCTTCTTGAAAGTTTTTCATTTTCTATAGTAAGTATTACATTCTCAGCTTTGTGTTTGGACTTTCAATTTCCGTTGTTTCTTCTCTGTTTTTTGCAGGAAATGCCACTGCTCTGTTTCTCTTTTTGGCACCAATGTGAGAGCATTCTCAATAACTTTTTTCTTTTACGAAAAATGGCTTCTTTTTCTTGTTTATAGATACATTTTGCAGTTTAAATGATATTTGTTTTAACATATTGCGTTCTTGATTTTCATACTTACTAGCTTGTCTTGAAAAATTGTCCATGAATCTGCTGTTCAATTTTCTAATTTTCATTTACAATTCTTCTTTTGTTTTCTGGGATTGAATTTAGAATCACATTCAAGAGGATCATACAAAAGAGATCCACAGAACAGTTCTCTGGCCTGCCTTACGTGATGACTTTACTCAACTGCCTGCTTTCTGCATGGTAAGTTTAAAGATCATTGCTTTATTTGTCCGTCTAAGTAAGTTCTTGAAATGCATGTTTAACAGTAATGCTTATTGTTTGTACCTGTTTCGGTTCCATTCAATGACCTTGTTTCATCATTCATGATACTTTCTCGTGAATTCTGGGGTAAATAATTCATTTCAAGAATTTTGATTACATGATTTCCACTGATAAATCAGTGCTTAACCTTTGAGCTCTCAAAAACTACTGTCTTTTTTCTGGTTTTCCCTTTTCTTTTGCTGTCCCAATATTTGGATGAGATGAAAGAAAACAGTGAGTGAAATGAGTATTTGTTCAGCTCCTCAAATCTTGGTAGTTGGCTAGCTGTTTTAAGAGAAAGACATGGTTTTGTTCATTAATATAATAGGGATATATGAAAACCATTTTCATGCTCTAGGAATCTTTTTGGTTGATGAGCTTAAATAGAGCAAAATGGTTAATGATGATTCATATATATAGTCGACCCTAAATTGCTTGATATTAACGCGTAGTTGTTGTTGTAGCAACCATTTTAGTTCCTAGTTAGCTGTGTACATCTGATCTTAATTTTGCTCTAGAAGTGAGGGCTCTCATTTTGAACTGGTTCATCTACCAATTGGATAGGTATGGCTTACCATTTGTGTCACCAAACAATCTGTTGGTGTCTACAATCAACGGGACTGGAGCTGCAATTGAGAGCATTTATGTACTGATCTTCATTGCATTTGCACCAAAGAAGGAGAAGAAGAAAATATCAGCACTTCTTCTATTAGTCCTAGCTGTTTTTGCTGCAGTAGCGCTTGTTTCCATGCTCGCTTTGCATGGAAATAACAGGAAGCTCTTCTGTGGTATCGCTGCCACCATCTTCTCTATCATTATGTATGGATCTCCTCTATCCATCATAGTAAGTTCCTTAACACCATTTCTTACTCTTTACTTTAACACAATTCTTGTTAAGCTGATGGAGAAGTCCTAATTTGGATGGGGTGTTGGGATGAGTTGTGCTATTAGATGTTCAATTTTAACATAAGGGATTCCTATTTTCATCAGAAATGGTTGATAGTTCTTAAAATTAAGCCATTTTAATCTCAAGAACAAATTTTATGCCTGCAGAGACTAGTAATCAAGACGAAGAGCGTGGAGTTCATGCCATTTTTCTTGTCACTCTTCGTGTTCTTATGTGGCGCTTCCTGGTTTGCCTTTGGCCTTCTTGGCAAGGACCCTTTTGTTGCTGTAAGTACCTATTGCATCTCTCATATAAGAAGTGATGTTGATCAATTTTCAGTATATATACCAATATATGGTTGTTGCAGTTGAATAAGGTTTATATATGTTGGTTGTATTGCAGATTCCAAATGGTTTTGGCTTTGGTTTAGGAACAGTGCAGCTTATCTTATATGCAATTTACTGTGACAAGAAGGGATTATTTACCAAGAAATCAACCCCTGATGATTCCTTGGAGATAGGAAATGAGAAAAGTAATGGCAAGTCAAAGCTTGAGCAAGTTTAGAACATGATGATTCTGGAACAATTGCAGTTTGGTGACTCTAATTCTTGTATGATGTTTTGAAATGACTAGTTCTTGAATGATGTCTGTAATCTGTAATCTGTATCTTTTTAGGTGCTAATATGTTTGTGATTTTCCCTAGTGATATCTGTTTGTTCTAATTAGAATTGGACTAGTTCAGTTCCATGTATATTAGTTTTCTCCTCAATGCTGTTGCAATAAACCATGATCCTTTTTTTTAATTCTTTGGTTTCTTCTAATGAATGCCTTGTTATTTGTAGAATATATTGTAAGCTGAATTTAGGGTTCTTTTTCCTCCTCACTCTATATGTGTAACAATCCTGCTTGATGAATGGCTTGTCTCCACCCACACTTTTTGAGGTAGTCATTTAACTTTTGACCCATGGGTAGAACTTCAAAATTAAAAGTTAAAAGTGAGGGTTAACATCTTGAAGTTTTGTCTAAAAATAGCAGGAGCTAGTCTGTTTTCGGACTGGTCATTCAAAAATAGTCAGCGTTTACAAAGTCATTGAAAAATAACCACTCTTTTGTTGCAACACGGAAAGTTCCAGCAAATATACTGGAGATCAGTGCACATGTGTATGAACTTCTAGCATACTATGCTGCAACTCCATCACGCGGAAAGTTCCAGCATAATATACTGGAGATTGGAGCACATGTGTTGTGTATGAACTTCCAGCATATTATGCTGGAATATTTTATGGATTTTAAACAGTATTTTCGTTCAGATTTATCTTTACATGAAAAGTGGCTAAATTTCGATTACTTTTGAAACTGTGGCTATTTTTGAATGACCACTTGTAAATCTGGCTATTTTTAAATTTCTTCCCTGGACTACGTGTGATTTTCACAGCCCACTGCTTCTTGGGCCTCTTTTTCTTGGGGTTGGACTGCTGGTAATAACATTATTATGGACCAGCCCATTGATGTGATGTCAACCTCACCCCACGTCGTTCAAACTTGTGGAATTTTCTTCTTTATGATTTTTTAGTTTAATTGATAAACATCTGAATAATTTATTCAAGTCCAAAATTTGTAACAATAGCAAGCATGTCATGTCATAGCTAATTAAAATTCTAAATAGATTAGACCAAGTCATTTACACCTGAGACCATTTCCTTTTCTTGCATCATTTGGATTAATTAATGTGAAATTGCAGCAAATATACCTAAAGAAGGGCAGTGAAAGGAGAAGCTAGTGCACTAGAAAAGACAACGGTTTTCGATGAGCATTGGAAGGAATAATTGATAAGAGAAGAAACAAACAAAGCAAAATTTTAGAGATACATGAAAAAGTATTTAAAAAGTTTGGAAGAAAACTTATTTGAGCATTAACAGTGCATACATCTTTTGGTTTACTCTATTGTCATGTGGGGATTCTAATGCAAGGACTGTTTCTTTGTTAAATAATAATCTAAAATTTTTGTACCGCAAATAATAAATGAAGGAATTATTATGCAATGAACAATAATAAATCATTTGTCACCCCATAGGTCGGGTTGGTTCGGATTTTACAATTATCAAACCAAATCAATTGTGTCGGATTATTAAATCTAAAGACCAAACCAAACCAATAAAACTCGGGTTTTTCACTCTCGGTTTTTCTCGGATTTTTGGGTTATTCGGATTTTTTTCCGGTAAAATCTTCGTAAAACAAAACATATAAATTATGCTCAAAATATTTCTTTAGTTCTAGTAAGATACAACTATATAAAGTATTTTCCAAGAAAATAATACAAAATATGAGATATGCCATGGCATTATCCTAAAATATTCAACAATAAAATTATGCAATATAAATATTGCTAATTAAAAAGTCATAATAAAAATAAACATAATCTAAGAGTACTAAACATGCTAAAATAAGTAGACTAATAAGGGAGTATTAAATAAATGACTAAAGAAAAAATAAAAATAAGTTATGCATTTTATCTAAATTATTGCAAAACAAAAAATAGATATTCAATACATTTTCATTCGTAGTATTGAATTAAATTTCTTTTGTTAGCGTTAGTTGATTTGATTTTGGTTTGGGCTTTTGTTAGCATTATTTAATTTACTAATGTTAATGGCTATAAAACTTATTGGAACATTCAAAAGTTCTAAGTCCAACCTTGAAATAATACCTCAAAAAATAAAATTATAAAATCTATTAAGAAATATTTATAAATTACATCACAATAAGTATATTTATATATTAAATATATCTAAAATTTCTATATATGTAATGTCGGGTTGGTTTGGTTTCAGTTTGACTTTCTTTAGTTAAAACCAAACCAAACCAATTATGGTCGGTTTTTTTTTTCCAACACCAAACCAAATCAAACCAACCCATAATCGGATTTTTTTCCGGTTTGACTCGAATTATCAATTTGATGTGATTTATCGATTTCCTTTGTACACCCCTAGTTCCATATACCTATATTACCTAATTTAAGAGCTTTTTGGTCTTTAGATACCTTTACCGACATATTTCTATACATGTGCTCATATCTCACGTTCTCTTTCGTACAAAATAATACCTCGATTCTCGTACACTATATAGGAGTTAGTAATGCATCGTTTGTAAACTTCAGATAACTTATCCAGATAGTTAATTAAAATCGAAAACGAAATTGAAAGTTAGTTATACTTGCGGAGATTATATTGGTTATGTCGAATTTTGTAAAAGAGAACTAAATACTATATAAGTATTACGAAACTTTCTCTCTCTCTCTATATATAAATGACCCTTAGGGTTTAAGCTTCTCGCATAAATTTTGTGGTTTAATGGAGAAGTAACAATAGTCGTCTTCATCCTCAAAGCTATTGAACCTCAAACTACACTTATGACTTGAGCTTTAGCTAAAAGTTGCACTTTTTGTCAGGGCGGTTCAAAATCGAACCGTAACTGTAAATATAGTTTATTGGTATCGGGTTATCGAACTAATGGTTGGTGAACTTATTGAAATTTTGTAATTAACGATTTATCGGTTCGGGAGCGGATTATTCAATTTCCTTATCGGATAAACTATTAACCCCTTAAAAATTATTATAATTATATTTTTACTCATTATAAAGCAACCTCTTAGCAACTTGAGCTTTAACGTTATCATATTATTTTTGGGGTAGGATTAGACAGATCTAGATAGTTCTAGATATCTTTATGCTCAAACGAATAATTTAACTTGGTAACTGAAGCAAAACTATATCTAGAATTTATGTTAACTGAACTTCTATTAGGGTCCCCATTTTATATTTTAGTTTGCTTATTGTAAAAGAATTAAAGAAGAAAAAATGACATTAACAATTATTAGCGTACTGGAGTAAGTGGAATCATCTAATTAAGATGCAGTAAAAATAGTACTTTGGTTAGTAATTTGATGTGGCATAAGAAGATTATATTCCCTTTAAAATTTCCTTTTTCCTATGGAAATTATTCAAATACAAGATCTCTATGGATGAAAATATGAAGTGATTTGGACCCCAATTCCCATCCAAATGTTCATGTTGTATCAACTCAAGTATTGAAGATGAAGAACATATTTTTACGGGGAGTGATATATATACATACAAACCTATTTGGCAGTATTTTAATCAAAATTTTAGGGTCCAGATGAGTCAAAATAGAACTACTATTAGACAACATGTTCTTAAATGGTGGTTTATGAAAACCTCAAAACCGTTACTGAAACTGATCCATCAGGCCCTTGCTGGAATCATTATATGGCAGATTTGGAAAGCTAGGTGCAAATGCAGATATGAGAATGAGAGAATTTTCACTGGAAGAATTGTTCGTAAGATACAACAACAAATAGGTATGGTTGTTCATAAATAATTTCCTAAAATGAGTATTTATCTGAACTGGGAGAACTTTTGTGATACAGTTATAGTGAAAAGTCTAAGTTGTCTATCTCCTATATCTATGTTAAATGGAATCCCCCAAATCTAGGATTTGTCAAGATCAATTCTGATGGCTACTCTAGAGATAACCCAGGCCTTGGGGGGAGGGGGGGGGGAGATTATAAGAAATCCTAATGTTAAACTATTAGATGCTTATGCAATCCCTTTTGGTTTTATAACAAAACAATATGGCAAAGTCATTGGTTCCGAAGGCTGGACTAGATTGGTGTACGGAGAAAGGATACAAGAAGATCATGGTGGAGATCGACTCTTTGGCAACTTGAAAAAGCTAAAATACCATGGAAGTTAACTGATATAATTCTGAATTTGAGAAACAAATCGAATTTATGGAAAATAGGATAATAGTACATTGCTATAGAAAAGGAAACAAAGTTGTTGATATCCTATCCAATTATGGCTTGAAAGTAAGACATATGACATGATTTCACAATCTGCAACAACTACCCAAGGAGGCTAGAGGAGAATACAGAATGGACATATTATAATTTCCTTCATTTAGAATGAAACAATCCAAGAATACCATTTCTCTAGGCAAGAGCTTGGGAGAAGATATCAATTTAGTGTTCCTTGATATGCTTGTAATCATGCAAGTAATCATACAATATAGAAGAGGGGTTAGTAGCCCTCAAAATTCACTATATTTGTGAGATAGCACAGATATATTTATCCATCATTTTGTAAAGGTTTGAGGATGCTCAACCTACATAGTAACAGAGGTAAGATGAAGTCCCCCTCCAATGTATTTACGTATCTATCTATGTTTGTCCAGGCTCATAAAGAAGCTTGATAGCTAAAACAAATATTTTTAAAAAAATGTACTGGAGTGTAATTGTGATTGGATCGTCTATCTATTATTTACTGTCTTATTTACTTATGTAATTTTTATTGTATTTGATTTAGCCGATAAACTGTTCGGTAACCGCCTGATAATCCTTAATCTGATACCGATCCGCCCGATATATTATCGGGTGGCTAGCGAATTAGTACATTTAAAAGATGATAACCGATAAGCCGAACTGTGAAGCGTAAATATCCGCCCAATCCGCCCGATAAGCAGCCCTACTTTCTGTTCATCTTCTCCCTATATCATTCATTTCATTTTGGAATAAACCATATCATTTACAACTATCAACATGTATTTGATATTAAAAAAATTAAAGAAACTACCCCGGACGTATAACGATTTCTTTCTTCAACGAAAAGATTAACTACTTCATTCGGGACATCATATGTTCAATAGAGCCGATAGCGTCATTTACAATTCAACTATAGGGAACATATCGACCATCAATATTCAATAATCAATACATACCATGAAGTAGAAA